TGTTATCTCAGATTTTCCAGCATCTGCACTTCCTACTATCTCCCCATACTAATACTGATTTCCTTCAGTTCCTCTCTCAAGAGATCCTACATTCCCCCAATATTTTTGGGATGTTATTTGTGTCATAATCATTTGAAGCCATAACCAAAACACAGTATTCAATTGGTCTGCCATCTTTGTCCCCCACTATAACTTCTTCCATTTGATTGTAAGGGGGTCTACATTTGTCTTCACTAATCAATTCACTTCTCACATCTATAGAAGCTTTCACAATCAGTTTGCAGGTCTCCTATAAGCTTACTCTTACATTGTATTTACCCCCTCTTACTCAGTCCCTTTGTCCTCCTTTGCTGAAACCTACACTGTTCCCAATCCTCAAGCTTGATGCTCATTTTGGCCAATTTGTATGCCCCTTCCTAATTTAATACTAATATCCCGCATTAGTCATGACTGGACCACCTTTCTAGTTTTATTTTTATGCCAGACAGGAATGCCATTCCTCCATGCATTTTTTAAATGTTTGCCATTGCCTATCCGCAGTCATCCCTCTTACTGATGATTGCCAATTTATCATAACCATCTCGTGCCTTATACCATTGTAGTTTCCTTAATTTAGATTTAGAACCCTCGTGTTCAGAATCAACTACGTCACTCTCCATTTTAATGAATAATTCTATCATAATATGGTCACTCTTCCCCAAGGGGCTACACACAAATAGACTGCCAACTATTCCATTGTCATTACACAACACCCAGTCTCGGATGGCCTGTCCTCAACGTACTGATTCAGAAACCCATCTCATAAACACTCTAGGAATTCTTGCTCAATAGCATTGCTATTGACTTGATTTGCCCAATCTATATGCAGGTTAAATTTACTCGTAATTACAGATGTAGCACTATTGTTTGCATCTCTGATTTCCTTTTTAATGCTTTCCACAACATTACCACTACAGTTTGGTGGTCTATATATAATCCCCAATGTCATATTCTGCCCCCTTGGAGTTTCTAAGCTCTACCTGTACAGATTCCACTTAACCGAAGCCAATATTCCGTTAATTTCTTCTTTAATCAGCAATGCCCACCTCCCTTTCCTCTTCATCTGTTTTTTCTAAAAAACTGAATGCCTTTGGATTTTCAGTTTCCATCCCTGATCACCCTGCACCCACATCTCCATCATCACAACTTTCTCGTATTAATTTATTTGCACAACCATTTCATCCATTTTACTGCAAATGCTCCATGCATTAAGACAGAAGGCCTTAAATCTCATCGCCTAAACATTTTTAGTCCTTTTCACATTACTTTGCACTATGGTTTGAATTCTCCGCTTATATTAAAAAAAACTTTGCTTAGTTTTGATTCTGTCTTTTGTTTTTATCCTTGTTCCCTCATTACTATCCCCCTGTATAGGTTCCCATTCCCCTGCCATTTTAGTTTAAATCTTCCCCAAACACACTAGCAAATATTCCTTCTAGGAAATCAGTTCCGGTCTTGCACGAGTGCAACTTGTCCAGTTTGCGTACTGGTCCACCTTCCCAGAAGCAGCCCCAATGCCCCATGAACCTGGAACTCTCACCCCCTCTCTCTCTCCAACCACAAATTCATCGGACATGTCCTGCTATTTCTACACTAACATGTAGTAATCCTGAAATCACTACTTTTGAGGTCCTACTTCTTAAATTTGCTTTCTAACTGTCTATATGCTGCTGTCAAGACCTCACTCCTTTTCTTACCTATGTCGTTGGTATCAATGTGTACACGACCAATGGATGTTCACCCTCCCATTTCAGAACATCCTGTAGCTGCTCCAAAACTCCCTTGACTCTAGCACCCAGGAAGCAACATACTGACCGTACGTGTAAACATTCACTTAGACATAATTACTGTTAAAATCATTATCTAAAAGTGCATTAATTCTAGAAGGCAGCTGTTACATTAAGAAGAAAAGGCTTGGAACTTGAACTGTCTCTTTAAATGCTTAGTAAGTCTTTCAGCATCCATTACCTCTGCATCCTCATCAAGCTGCAGCTGGCGAGCTAGCTCCTCGTCATCTATTGTGGAATCAGCATTGCCTGAAGGCTAAGACAAGAGGAATAATGTTAAATGATTTCAAGGCTTCTTAGGGGCAGTCACTAAGTAATTTCCTCATCCAACTGGACATAACCAACTACAAGCTGGAGCAGGACATATCATCTGGGTATCCAACGGTTTCAAATATGGCAACATAACAAACCCAAGTCACGCACATGCTCATTCAGGAGGATATACTTGTTGTGAACAAGAGTAGCAAATGCAGTGTTGCCCTCCCCCATGCAAGTGTGTGGCGATCAACTGCAGCTGTTTTACTTTACTGCCTCAGCGGAAATCAACTTCTCTGTTCAAAACAGATTTTGAAGCCGGATCGCACCTGGTAACACAACTTTGCTCCCATTGACTTTTTTTTAAACTCCTCTAACGAACCAATGGATAAAGAGATTATCAAGTGGACAAATAATCTCTGCAAAAGGATTCCAATCCAACTCCTATTATCTGCTCAGCTAGTTGACAACCCCTGGGAAACAGACAAAAATTAACTTTAGGGCTGTAAATCGACTGGACAAAATGGTACTGAGCCATACAAATCAGAAAGGGGGACACAAAAAAAAAAACACCAAAGTAAGGATTTCCCCCTTCCAAGTACACATTTAAGATTGCTTTTGCAATCAAATATCTCATTACTGCACAATTTCTAAAGTCACGTGAAGAACGTCGATTGGAAAGGGTCAAAGATTTCTGGAGAGAAAAATGACGCAAAGAAAGCCTAAGATTTAAAGTTCATTAGCAACCAAATCATTGTTGACTTCACAAAACTATACAATTGCAAGGGGGAGGAGAAGAAAGGCATTCAGAGTTATACTCATGGACCTTAGTAATAATCTAGACAGTTCAATTTTATTCAAACAACCCAGTTCCAAACAGAACTACGGTTAAATGATAAACATAGGTATTGTAAATGTACATGTAAAAATGTCCTTACTGCTTTTCTTTTGCTAGCCACCAGTTTTTTATTTGATCTCTGCACTGTGCTTGTGCCAAAGTAATCGCGCACTGATGTGCAGGTGAATTTCACTGGACTTGCTGGTTTAGGCTGTGGTGGTTTGACCTGTGGTTTACTGTCTGCAGACCTTCCAGAGCCAGATGTTCCAGGGTGGCTACCATTTTCTTGATATTTCTGGACAATCTTCCTACTTTGTTGAAAATCCTCCTCTTCATCTTGACAAGTCATCAAGGGAGAGTTTTAGGGCATGGGGAGAAGAGAGAGAGAAAAAAATGCCAATCAACAAATGTTGCTGGCGTCATAAAGGACAAGCAGTACCAAGTATCAGACAGCATCATCACTAACCCAATACAAAGGCCACTTTTGAAAATTTATTTTTAAATGCAACCAACTTGTCACACTGCAGGACACATGGTCTGATTAAATGCAAGGGTTTAATCCATTCCTTCTGGGTTTTATGAAGAAATCTTCCATGAAGCTTCGAGGTTCTTAATTTCTTTCAAAACCTAGCTGTTCAGAGATAATCTAATTCTGAAAATTTAATGACTATAGTGAACAGATGAAAGAAAGAATACTTTACATTATCCCTGTGTATTTACTCAGGCAGGAAATGCTCATAACAGAGGATGGCTGCAACAGTGTTATTCGGGTGAAATGGAGAACCCCTATTGGTCCAATATCAATAAGAAGGTCTGTGCCTCTAGGCCTCACCCCCATTACCAGGCTGAGAGCCTTCTCCTTTTAGTCACAAAGTCTAGAAGGCAGACTGTCTTCAGCCTTCTACATTGTCCCAATATAGTTCAAAGCAAGCTTAAGGAACAGTACCTAGCCTTTCTGATGATGTACTTTATTGCCTTCTGAACTCAACACGAGTTTAATAATTTTGGATCATAATTTCTGCCCCTTTATTTCCCCAGATTATTACTGCTGGTCAGGATTCTGCTTTTCCCATTTCCATCTCCTCTGGACCCATGCTTTGTTTTGTTACTTGTCCCATAACATTTCATTTTACCTTGTGCCTTTCATCATTTACCAAACCATGCCTTCCTTCTTGTTCTCCAACTCCCCTTCCCCTTTTGTACTTGGTTAAACTGATATTTCTAGTCTGATGGAAGATCCACAACATAAAATGTTAACTGTTTACTCTCTCCAGATGCTGCCCAGTCGGAGTATTTTCAGCATTTCTATTTTAACTACCATCAAGTTTTCCATTAAACTCAACTTTTCTAACCATATAGCACTTCACTTGTTGCCAAATGTAGAATTGTTGTCAGATGCAGCTATTAGGGAACATTATCACCTGGCATTAACCAGAAGCAAGGGCTTCAAAATAAAAACAAACAAACCTACATAATTCTTTACCAATAATCTGTTACCTCCAGTCATGCAGTATCACCTAATTTCCAAGTTAAAAAACCAGCTTATCTACTATTGTAAAGCCATCATCCACCTCTGTTCCAATGCTCTCCTAGTCAGCCACCCCTTCTTCATAAATTTGAGCTCACCCAAATTCTACTGCCTACACTCCAAGTCACACCAAGTCCCATTCATCTATCAGCCTTCTGTTTGCTGACCAATATTGGAATCACGCAAAGCAAAGCCTTGATCCTGAAATTCTCATCACTGTATTCAAATTCCTCAGTTTTCCTCACGATCTCTAACATCCTCCAGCCCCTCGCAGAACATAAAAGCATAAAAAAAAGACAGACTGTCATTTAATCTTGCAATGATCATGTTGACATTGTTTCTAATGAACCTATTCAGACGTTATAACACACATCTGGTGAGACTCGGGTGAAACTCGAACCCAGGCCTCCTGATCCAGAGTTAGGGACACTATCACTTCAGCATCCTGACAAGCTGCTATGTTGAATTTATACCCTTAAAGGTATCGTTGCTTGTTCAACTCTGGCCTCTTCACAACCTTGATCCTTGTCATTCCACCACTGGCAACCGTCTACTAATGCTCTAAACCTGAGAATTTCAACTCCTAACCTCCTTACCTTTCCATCCTGCTTTAAGTAATTCTTTTAAACCTACCTCTGTGACCAATACTTTTGATCACCTGTTCAAATATCTTCATGAGACCCAAGGTCAGATTTTGTTGGACAGTGGACCTGTGATACATCTTAGGAGGTTTCACTAATTTAAAATGAGCTATATAAACCCAAGTGCCATTAATCATCTTTATTTTCTCCCTCTGCACCGTAGTATTTTGTCAGCCAGGTCCATGGGGAGAAAAAGTCTATGCTGAAAGCAAAATTCTACACACAAAATATGCTGGGCAGGAAAGTTCAACTTGTTCTCAGGTGCTGCCTCCAACTTCACACCATCAGAGTATCCCCACGAATGCTATATAAGGATACACCAAACATAATTCTAAGTACACACCCATGTCGGTCTTTGTCCACTACCCTCAAAATTTCAAAAAATAATTTAGTCTATTACTCAGATTACAAGATTCTAATTTCACTTAATTGCAATGCAAAACAATGTTAGAGGTTTATCATGGGGTTGGTATGAACAGCAGGTCAGTCTAGAGACACATTTTCTGGATCATTTCTATGTTCAATTTGAAAGAAATGGTCTGAAAAGAAATAAGATAATTGGATAGGAGGTTTATTTCAAATATCTGGTTATTTTTCCGAAGCAACCATTAGTCACAACGACACAAACACTTACTGGTAGATGAGCAAAAGATTATACTCATGCCTATTGCACCAATATCTAACCTTGACAAGTTGTGCAATACCTTTCCATACAGTATAATAGTTGTTTTGAAAAAAAAGTAAGCCCCAGTCTTATCTAGCCTGATAATAGAGTAATTCCAAGTATCAAGGTCAAAAACATCTGTTTGCAGAGATACCAACACAATGGTAGCAGGAACAAAGATGGAACATTATACAACTGGAATTGGTAATTGTACCAGGTGTCACAGTTCAAGGATTCTTTTTTTTTTTAAAACTGTCCTGAAATCTCTGAGCCAAAGTCACAAAGTCTGAATCAATACCATTTAACTGCCCTCTCAGATTAGTGATTTAGGAGAATGGGCCATGTTCCATAATTCATTAAGGTCAACTTTCATCGTAAATAATTTCTTCTAGTTGATTATTATCCAAATTTCCAAATCGATTTAATATCTTTTATTAACAGTCTTTTGTCAGAGGCATCATGGATTGTGGAAGCGTGTGTGCTGGAAAGCTTTGGGAATGCTACAATTGTGATTTCGCGATTATGTTTTCACAGAATCAGAATCTCTTACTCGTCACAGCACAGGTTGTGATCACTTCCTATCACGTCTGTGCTGGCTCTCTGAATGAGCATATCTCTGAGTGCTATTCTCTTGCCTACTCTCCATAATCCTGAATATCCCTCTTTTTCAGGTAGTAATCCAATTTTTTCTTGAAAGCCTCAGTTGAATTTACCTCCACCACACACTCAGGCAACACATTCCAGACCCCAACCACTCATTGCGTGAAAAGGTTTCTCATGTCTCCGATGTTTCTTTCATCAATTATCTTAAAACAATGCCCTCTCATTCCTCGTACCACTAAAGATTTTCCCAACCTCTTCAGGCTCATGATTTTGAAAAGCTCTTCAAATCTCTTCACGATGTTTATTCAGTTAGGATTCTCTTCAATTCAAGATAAAATTGAATAATGAAAAAGATCACATGATTTTTGTCACCTGCCTAACAGTCCTCTGCGGTTGGGTTTCCCTGGAGACAGGGGGACCCTGGTTGAGACTTAGTGGGAGCAAGTTATAAAAACGTTCACACCTAAAATCAAAGACAGGAACAGCCAGGCTAACTGTGCACAGACCTTCAGATTCTGAGACAGAGAAAGTTGTCAGGGACGATAGCTTTGCAGTAATTATGACAATCAACCTATTGCAATTGTCCCTAAAACTCGCTAGGTTCACTCATGTCCATTAGGGAATGGAATATTCCATTGTTACCAAGTCTGGTCTGCCATCCAACTCCAGATCCACAGCAATAATGTTGCCTTTTGGAAATAGCTGAGCAAATCACTCAGCTAAAAGACAACAAGGGAGAGGCAACAAATGCTGGCCTTGCCAGTGATGCTCACATCCATGGAAAAATACAGAAAAACAATGTGGTGTGAGATTATTAGTAGTAGTAAAAGAATAGTAAGGGTTCTCTTTTATGCAGTTTTGGTTGTCTACAGGGTAATGTTTTGTCAATGTTGTAATAAATTCGTTTGTTACAGCAGAACTGTTAAGAGTCGAAATACTATCGTGCAATTCCTTTAAGTTGGTCTCTGGAAACTCAAATATCTTTTTAAAGGTTTTTGATTTCTGCACAATCATAAGTGAAGCATGCAGAAGACAGTACAAGAGTGGGTGAGCATGAAAGGAGGGGTGGGAAAGAAACAGAGAGGGTGGGCAGAGCACGCGGCAGTGCGGAAAAGAAAGTGAGACTGAACAGTGCTTTTGATATCAAAGGGAATGCAAGTGCAGGCAATAGTTAGAGAATGCGTGCATAAATTAGAGCAATTATCCATTCCTGTCTACTGTAAAAATTAAACTAGGACAGGTGTCACAACCAAAGATTACATAGAGATCCAGAAAGGAGATACAATTGCCAGAAAAAGCAACAAGCTAGAGCATTGGGAACACTTTGGAATTCAGAAAAGAAGATCAAGATATTTTATCAAAGAGGGAAGAGAGAGAATGGGAGTAAATTTGCAGGAGGACGCAAAAAAAACTGAAGGCAAAATCTTCTATAAATAAGTGAGGAGACAAAGGATTACTAAAGACAAATGTAGGTTCAGTCAGAAGCCGCAAAATTATAACAGGGAGCAAAGAATCGTCAGGGGAATGAATGCATACCTTGGTTCTGTCTTCACAACAGCACACAAATAACCTCCCAGAAATGTTAGAAAACCAGTGAGGGAAGAATTGAGGGAAATCAGTATTAGTAAGAAAACAGTGCTGGGGAAATTAATGGAGTCACAAACTGACAAGTCACCAAGGTCTAATAATTGATATCCCAAAACACTCAAGTAAGTTGTTGTCAGAACACTGGATGCATCTTTTAAAATTATACAGACTCCACAGCAGTTCCTACGAAGAGTGGCAAATATAATCCCACTATCAAAAAGGGGAGGGAAAAAGAAAGAGAATTACTGTCTAGTTAGCCTAATATCAGTAGTTGAGAAAAATGCTGAAGCCAATTATAAAATAGGTGATAACAGAATGTTTGGAAAGCATTTAATGGATTTGACAAAGCCAGCATGGGTTTATGAGAGGCAAATCTAGTGCAGTTTTTTGAGACTGTAGCTAATAATTAATTGAGGAAGAACTAGTGGATGTGGTGTATTTGTATTTTCTGAAGGCTCCTGATAAGGTTCTATATAAGAGGTCTGGCAGCATCTGTGAAGGAGAAAATAGTTAACGTTTCGGGTCCGGTGACCCTTCCTCAGAACTCATCAGTTCTGAGGAAGGGTCACTGGACCAGAAACGTTAACTTTGTTTTCTCCTTCACAGATGCTGCCAGACCTGCTGAGCTTTCCCAGCAACTTTGTTTTTGTTCTTGATTTACAGCCTCCGCAGTTCTTTTGGTTTCTATGTAAGAGGTTATGGGCAAAAGTACAGCACAGGGGATTGGAGACAATATAATGGAACGGATTGAGAACTGGTTGACAGACAGCAAACAAATAGTGAGAATAAATTATTTTTTCCCCCCAGTGACCAGTGCAAGACTGCAAGGCTTAGGCCATCAAACCACAAAACAAAAGGAGCAGAAGTAGGCCAGTCAACACATGAAGTCTGCACCACCATTTAATGAGATAAATGACTGATCTGATAACCCTCAACTCCACATTCCTGCCTTTTCTCCATAATCCTCCATTCCCTTACTGATTAAAAATCTGTCTACCTCAGGCTTGAGAATACCTGATGACCCAACGTCAATAGCCACCTGCGGTAAATTCCACAAATTCATTACATTCAGAGAAGAAATCCCTCCTCATTACTGTCTTAAATGGGTGACCTCTTAACCTGAGGTTATGCCCTCTGGTCCAAGACTCTCCCACAAAGGGAAACAATCTTTCCACATCCATCTTGCCAATCCCATAAGAATCTTCTTTGTTTCATTAAGGTCATCTCTCATTCTTTTAAATTCCAACAAGTACAGGCCCAATCTACTCAACATATTCTCACAACACAGTCCCCCTTACTGAGTACCAGCCTTCTCTCTACTGCTTCCAATGCCAGTGTATCTTTTCTCAGATAAGGGGCCCAAAACTGTTTACAGTATTCCAACAATGACCTGACTAGTACACTGCATAATTTTAGCAAATGTTCCCTACTTTTATACTCCATTCCCCTTGGAATAAAGACCAACATTCCATTTGCCTTCCCTATCATCTGCTAGACTTGGATGCTAGCTTTTTTTGAGATTCACAGACAAGAGCTCCCAAATCCCTCTGTTCTGTAGCTTTCTGCTGTCTTTCTCCATTTAAATATTATTCAGCTCCTCTATTCTTCCTGCCAAAGTACACTGCTTTTCATGATATAGATGAAGGGACTGGATGACGGAAATGTTGCATTTAAGTTCTAAGTTGGTTAACAACACAAAACTGGGAAGGATTGAGAGTTAAGATGATGCAAGGAGGTTTCAAGGTGATTTACACAAGTCAAATGAGTGGGAAAACACATGGCAAATGCAATGCGCCTAGGTGTGAATTTACACACTTGGTGAGAAAAATAGTACATGGTGGTATAATGGAAGATGTGGATGTACAAAGGAATCTGATGTCCTTATACGACAATGAATCAAAGAAGACAGGTGGATGCAGAAAGCAATTAGGAATGTAAATTGTATATTTGCAAGAGGCTTTGAGTTCAGAAGTAGGATGCCTTACTGCAGTTACACAGGGCCTTGGTGAGACTGCATCTGGAACATTGCATGAAGTTAGGTCTTCCTACCCAAGAAAGGATATATTTGCCATAGAGGGAGTTCAGCAGAGGTTCATGAAGATGATACTGGAAATCAGCGCTGTTCAACGAGAAGAGATTGGTTTTACTGAACTGTACTCACTAGAGATTAGAAAGATGAGAGGGGATGCAATTGAAAAATATAGAATTCTACAGGGCTGAACAGACCAGAGAGGAGGCTTTCCCTGGTTTGGGAACCAGAGGTCACAGTCTCAGGAAATGGGGCCGGCCATTTAGGACCAAAATGAGGAAAAGTTTCTTCATTCAAATGGGTAGTAAACCTTTGGAATTCTATTGTACAGAGTCAATAAGAGATAGATACATTTTTAGATTAAAGGCATCACAGTGTATGGGGAGAAAGCAGGAATATGGCATTGAGAAACTAAATCAACTGTGATCATATTGAATGACACAGCAGACAAATGGCCTACTCCTAGCTTCTGCGTTTCTAATGATCAACATAAATTGCAAATTACTATAAACCATTTGAAGGAAATTTATCAAATCCACACTTGAATGCTAACATCCAAGTGTTGCCAGTAACCATAGAACCTTATCTCAGCTGAATTCATCACCATTAAAAATAACTGACAGTAAGGCAAGTGTAAAAAGGAAACTTCAAATGAACTGCAGCTTAAAGCAGCTTACGTGCTGTACGTGTTTTACTGCAAAAGTGCCCCTATCATTACAATTCCAGTTATACAAGTTCATAAAAACTGAACATATTTTACAGCGTACAAAAACAAAATATTGCTGCAAGTCTGCAATTGTGTCAAAGTGATTATTATTTGCCAAACTCAGTCAGAAAAGGTCAGATTACAATCTGACAGTGTATGGTCACATTTACAACACAAACTGCTTTCATGGAGTTCAGCACACCTGTACATTATCCAAATTGTTGATATTTATGCACAGCGACATGAGAAAAAGTCATTTCTCTGGTTGCAGCACTGAAACATTAACGGAATCTTGTTTATACTTTGTAGTCATTTTGTGACAGTGTGTAAGCTAGGTGTTGTACTAAACTAAGTTACAAACTTCACCAAAACCTGTAAAATGTATGCTGGATTTGTTACTCACTCAATGAGAGTTGTTATGAAGATATGATCGCCTCAAATATTGTTTCTGAACTCATCAACCAGAGACAATGAAGTTCTAAAAGGACAGCTTTTAAACCAAAACAAGAGACACCAACTCCAACCAAAAACGGCTGCTGTAAATTACATTACTACACAGTCTACATTCCACACTATTGGCATGGAGAATGCAGGTTCTATGAAGAATGCATCAGAGACAATAAATCTTCGGAAATTGTATCAACCATTTTCTTCTAGTCATATTAAAATGCAGCTAGTCATTAAGCATGGAAAAATGCATCATTCAGAAACCAATTACTTGAACAAAAGACATTGCTCTCTTAAGAGGAGTCTGTAGGTGTAAGTTAATCAAAGTTATCTTTAGAAATATTCAATGGGTTTTTGGACTTCTGTTTTATTTATCGAGTGTAAATGCCAGAGCCAGAAGACCACTTCCACCCGTACTGATTAAATAATTAATACCACTTAATCAAGAGAGCAATTTCTCCTCAGCAAAATGACAGCACATTATTCTAATTGGCTTTTTGACACGGATGATTTTACACACAGGGTGCTGAGGGAACATAGGTACTCAAATTGGCAGAATAAGCTTGGTGATGTTACCAAGGTAAGGTTATCAACTTTTCAGCATATTTATTAGTGACTAGAATATCCAAATCTAGACTTTCATCTCAGTTTGTGGATGATACTAAAACGAGAGGGACAGCAAGTAACACGACTGGGATCAATGAAGTTGCAAAGAAAAGCAGTTCGATTAAGCACATGTGTAGAACAGAGTTTAGTATCCACTTTAATCCAAGAAATATAAATCAGACTACTTTTTGAATGGTGAGAGATAAGAATTGTGTACTAGCCCTCAAGATGCAAGAGAAGCATACCAGGCACAAGTGAAAGTTGAAGACCATGGCAACCTGTCATGCCCTGCTATTTAACAAGAACTAAGAATAGGATTATATAAAGGAAAATAGGTCAGATCAGTTTCGTACCAGTTTCAGAAATCACTGTAACAGTCGCTAGTTTAGAAGCTTTCATAGGTTTGGTGGTGCAAGAGTTTTTCTTGGATTTCTTATCTGGAGGAGTCTCTTCAGATTCAGAATCTGCAGGAAAGTAAAAACAGATGCTTTACTAACTCTATCTAACCAGGAACTCTATTATTTCATGGGATGTGGGCAAGATCAGCATTTAGTGCCTCCTTTGGAGGTAATGGTGATGAGCAGTTCACTTCTTGAATTGCTTAAATCCATCTGGTGCAGGTGCACCTACAACATTGGAAAGGGGTTCCAGAAGTCTGATCCTGCAACACTGAAGAAACAACAGATATATTCGGGGCGACACAGTGGCTCAGTGGTTAGCACTGCTGCCTCACAGCACCAAGGACCAGAGTTCGATTCCATCCTTGGGCGACTGTACGTGGAGTTTGCACATTCTCCCCGTGTCTGTGTGGTTTTCTCCGGGGGCTCCAGTCCAAAGATGTGCAGGCTAGGTGGATTGGCCATGCTAAATTACCCGTAGTGTTCAGGGATGTGTAGATTAGTTGGGTTATAGCAGATGCTCTGGATGGGATGTTCTCAGGGTCAGTGAGAACTTGTTGGGCCGAAGGGCCAGTTTCCACACTGTAGGGATTCTATGAAATAGTGATATCTTGAAAACAGTCCACAAAGGGGTCGACTGCTTTTTGTCATTTATATAAATAATTTGGATATGAATATGGGAGGTATGTTGAGTAAGTTTGCAGATGATGCCAAAATTGGTGGTGTAGTAAATAGCGAAGAAGAACGCCACAGTACAGTGGGACCTTGATCAGATAGGCAAATGGGCCGACAAGTGGCAGGTGGAATTTAATTCAGATGAATGTGAAGTGCTGCAGTTTGGAAAGGCAAATCAGGGCAGGACTGATACACCTAATGGTAAAGTCCATGGGAGTGTTGCCAAACAAAGAGACCTTGGGGTGCACGTTCATAGTTCACTGAAAGTGGAACAGGTAGACAGGCTGGTGAAGACGACATTTGGCACACTTCCCTTTAATGGTCAGTGCACTGAGTATAGGAGTTGGGAGGTCATGTTGCAGTGGTACAGGACATTGGTTAGGCCACTTTTGGAACACCTTGTTCAGTTCTGGTCTCTCTGTTTCAGGAAAGATGTTGTTAAACTTGAAATGGTTCAGAAATGGTTCAGAAAAGATTTACAAGGATGTTGCCAGGGTTGGAGGGTTTGAGCTATAGGGAGAGGCTGAATAGGCTGGGCCTATCTTCCCTGGAGTGTCAGAGGCTGAGGGGTGACTTCATAGAGGTTTATAAAATCATGAGGGGTATGGATAGGGTTTTTTCTATTCATTTGTGGAATGTGGGCATTGCTGGCTGGCCAGCATTTCTTGCCCATCCCTAGTTGCCCTTGAGAAGGTGGTGGTGAGCTGCCTTCTTGAACCACTGTAGTCCTCCTGCTGTGGGTTGACCCACAATGCTATTGGGGAATTCCAGAATTTTGACCCAGCAACAGTGAAGGAACGGCGATATATTTCCAAGACAGGATGGTGAGTGACTTGGAGAGGAACTTGGAGGTAGTGATGTTCCCATATGTCTGATACCCTTGTCCTTCTGGACGGAAGTAGTCGTGGGTTTGGAAGGTGTTGTCTGAGGATCTTTGGTGAATTTCTGCAGTACATCTTGTAGATAGTACACACTGCTGCTACTGAGCGTCACTGGTGGAGTGAGTGAATGCTTGTGGATGTAGTGCCATTCAAGAGGGCTGCTTTGTCCTGGATGGTGTCAAGTTACTCGAGTGTTGTTGGGGCTGCACTCATCCAGGCAAGTGGAGAGTATTCCATCACACTCCTCACTTGTGCCTTGTAGATGGCGGACAGGCTTTGAGGAGTCAGGAGGTGAGTTACTCGCTGGAGTATTCCTAGCTTCTGGCCTATAGGGATTCTATGATATTTTCCAAGTCAGGACTTCCAAGTCACCGGCCAGGCTTACCGGTGAGTTGCAAGTGGTAGTGTTCACGTGCATCTCTGCTCTTATCCTTCTAGGTGGCTGTGGTCACCAATTTGTAAAGTGCAGTCTAAGGAATCTTGGTGAATTGCTGCATGTATCTTGATGATATATGGTGCTGGCGCTGTGCATCGTTGAAGGGGTGAAATGGTGGATGGGGCATGGATCAAGCAGGTTTGCTTTGTCCCGAATGCAGTCAAGTCTCTCAAGTATTGTTCAGCTTCACGTATCTAGGCAAATGGAGAATATTCCATACATTTCTGATCTGTGCATTGTAGATAGTTTACAGGTTTTAAATTAGCAATTGAGTTACTCGCTATAGAATTCTGACCCTCCGACTTATTCTTATTGTCACAGTATCTATATGGCTGCGCCAACTTGGTTTCCAGTCAATGTTAACGCCCAAAGCTGTTGAAAATGGGGGATTTCAGCAATGTTATGACCATTTAATATCAAGGGTTGATGATTAGATTCTGTCTTTTTGGTGATAGCCATTCCCTGGCATTTGCACAACCCAATGTTATTTGTCACGTAACAGCCCCAAGAATTGTTTATATATGGTACAAAGAAGCCAATTTATTCAAAAATTCTTTACCTGAATCATAAATGATGTGTTTTTTCCGGTGTGCTGGCTTTGGTTTTCCTGACATTGAATCGTGTGAATCCTTTAACTGAAAACACAAAACAGATAAAGTCTAAGCCATTGGATTGATGTTGGACAGCTGTATCCATGTCATTTATTGCCGTGATACAAATTGGCACTCCATGTATCTGCACTTTATTTCACTGACATATTAGTGAGACTGAAACATTCAGAACTTTAAAACAGATATAAAGTAACTGACCTTGGCATCAGTTTTCTTCTTCGCATCTGAAATGCTCTTGCCAACATTTTTCGCCCGATTCTTTTCCAAAGCCTCATTCCCAGGTTTCTTCCCAGTAGAAAGGCCACCAAAGAATCTTCTGATGTCCTAAGAATATAAAAATTTTTTAAATTCTTTAACACTACTGCTAAAGTTATGGAGAGATACTTGTGTTACCACAGAAGTAGAATAGGTCAGTACCCCCAAATTCAGAATGGGTTAACAACATATATACACTCAAAAATACTATTACATTTCAGGCCCGAAAGAATAGTACGGTCAGGTAAGTGGGAATATTATTAAAGTATTATTTTGAATAAAATTGAAAGATGAGAAGGGGTCGTGACTTCAAATAGCAAGATACAAATATAGAATGGATTAATTAGACAAAGTTCTTCACACAAGGACTGATTAATATATCAGTCTGATTAATGGACCTCCAGGTTGCTACAGACAAAATTTATGGAACTATCAATAAGAAGTTAGCGATGGCAGCTGTAGAGTATTACTGTATGCCTTTCTGGAACAAGGGGGCCAGATCAGACAACTCTACAACTTATTCTGGAAATATTTCTGTAAACTAAGAACTAACATGTTTCACTAAAACCCCCAGATTTGAATGATTCTTCCACTTTTTCATCAATAATCTGTCTTCCCTACTGAAAGATTTGACTCTTCACCAAGGGGCAATTTTGCAAGTATATGTCACTACTTAACACCTGCGGAAATTTATCATGCAGTATCAGAAAGCACTCCAATTGTGGGTGTCTCAGCCAAGAACAGTGCTAATCTCAACCAACATCTAAGCATTCATATTTCTAACGGGACCAAATCTATTAGCAAAATAAATCCGTGGGGATGCTTCCTTCTACAAATTGGGGCAAATAAGGCCAAACGTTCTTGCCAGCATGTCAGCCAAGATACACTGACTCTACACAGCCTATCATAGGATACTGAAGCACAGGAAGCCAGCTGGACAATTAGCTCTACCAGAGAGCTGGCACAGATCTATCTAACTTGTCAGACTCCCCGGCACACTCCCTACAGTGCTTTAGGAGCAGCACAATGGCTCAGTGGTTAGCACTGCTGCCTCACAGCACCAGAGATCTGGGTTCGATTCCAGCCTTGGGCAACTGTCTGTGTGTGGCCTGCTTATTCTGTGTTTGTCTGGGTTTCCAGCAGGTGCTCCAGTTTCCTCCCACAGTCCAAAAGTAAGTGCAAGTTAAGTGGATTGGCAATGGTAAATAAAGCGTTGGGGAATGGGTTTGGGTGGGATGTTCTTCGGAGGGTCAACGCAGACTTGACAGGCCAAATGGCCTCTTTTTCCATGGTAGGGATTCTATGATCTGAGCCTTGTCTGCACTTTTCCCTTCAAATATTTATTCATAGTCCTTCTAAATGTTATTAAACCTACTTACAGCACATTTTCAGGCATCGCATTCCAGATCACAATACAACGTACAAAAAAAGTTGCCCATCAAGTTATCTCTGATTCTATTGCCAATCAATCACTTTAAATCTATGCCCTTTCACCATTAACTATTCTGTTACTGAAAATAATTTCTACTTACTTACTCACTCACTCAGGGACACCTATCAAATCTCCTCTTAACATTCCCTGATCTAAGAACAGCCTCAATCACCACACGTAACTGACACTCTTCCCTACTGCCATTCTACTAATTCTCCACCATACCTTTCCATAGTCTTAATAACATGTGGTGCTGAGCTGACGTCTGGCCAGTGTTTTATAAATGCATTAAACCAATGATTTAAAAGAGTCGGGACACAGGTCAGTACAGACCATCATTAAGGAGGTGGTGTTGGGAAGCCAAAGAGTTCTGAGGGTGGTTAAATCATCCAAACCAGATGGTCCACACCTCCGAGTTCTGAAGCAGATAGCTGAGGAAATTGTAGAAGCATTAGTGGTGATCTTTCAGGAATCACTGGTATCAGGGAGGGTCACAGAGGACTGGAAAATGACTACGGTAACACCCACATTTAAGGAAGGAGAAAGGCAGAAGACAGGAAAATATAGGCCAGTCAGTCTGACCTCAGTCATTGGTAAGATTTCAGAGTCCATTATTAAGGATGAGATTGCAGAGTACTTAGAAGTGCATGGTAAAATAGGGCTGAGAAAGCACAACTTCATCAAGGGAGATCATGCCTGCCAAATATATAACAAGGAAGTTAGTCATAGGAGAGTCAGTGGATGTCATCTATTTGGATTTCCAGAAGGCCTTTGACAAGGTGCCACACAGGAGGCCACTAAATAAGACAACAGGCCATAATGGCAAGGTACTGGCATGGAGAGAGGATTGGGTGACTGGCAGACAGCAGAGACTGGGGGTAAAGGGATCTTTTTCAGGATGGCAGCAGTGACGTCCACAAGGGTATATGTTGGGACCACAACTACTCATGTTATACATTAGCAATCTGGACAAAGGAACTGAGGGCATTATTGCTAAACTTGCAGCTGACAAAGATAAATGGAAGGACAGGTAGCGTCGAGATAATGGGATGCTGCAGAAGGACTTGGATGGACTAGGAGAGTGGACGAAGAAATGGCAGCTGGAATATAACGTGGGAAAGTGTGAGGTTATGCACTATGGTATTTCTAAACATGGGAAGACTTCAGAAATCTGAAAGCACAAATGGACTTAGGAGTTCTAGTTCAGGATCCTTCTGAAGTTAGAATGTAGTTAAATTGACAGTGAGGAAGGCAAATGCAATGTTAGCATCCATTTCAAGACAGCTACAGTGTAAGACCATAGATGTACTACTGAGGCTGTATTACGCCCTGGCCAGATTGCATTTGGAATATTGTGAGCACTTTTGGGCCCCATACCGAAGGATGGATGTGCTGGCGTTGGAGCGGATCCAGAGGAGGTTTACAAGAATGATCCTGAGGATGTAGGGCTTGTCATATGGGAAGCAGTTAAGGGTCTGCACTCGATGGAGTTTAGAAGGATGGGGGTGGGGGAACAGAATTAAAACACTCAGGATAGTTAAAAGGCCTAGACAGCGTAGATGCGGTAGAAGAGACTAAGACCCAAGGGCACAGTCTCAGAGTGAAGGGATGACCCTTCAGAACTGAGATGAGGAGGGATTTCTTCAGTCAGTGGAACTCACTGCAACATAAGGCTGTGGAGGCCAAGTCATTGAGTGTATTTAAGACATAGATAGGTTCTTGATTAGTAAAGGGATCAAAGGTTAAATCGGGAGAAGGCAGGATAATGGGATTGATGGACATATCAGCCATGATCGATTGGCAGTACAGACCCAATTAACTAAATGGCCTAATTGTACACCTGTATCTCTTGGTCTAACCTGAAACTTTCCATAGCTGTGAGAAGCCATCCAGGGTAGGAGTCGGAGTGGAGTCAGAACTATAAAGCTACATAAATTGGGCACACTTTCCTGTAGTGTGGTAAAGTAAAATAAAGCATGTTCTTTGCAATGTGCATATTAGGGAGAAGGGTGGCATTGGAAGGAAAGTGAAAGTCTAACACAATTGGACAGTATTATTTAAAACTGCAACAGCCCTTTGCTTTTGTTGTGTCATCAGCCTACTGTTGAGTAGAAAAGATTTTTATTAATTAACACTTTTCAGAGTTAGAGTTACATTTGACTGACTGGATTTTAGTAGCAGCACTAATTAATGAGATGGTGCTACCTCCTCCAGAGGTGTACAGATACATTCCAGTGTTGTTTCCACTGGCTAAAACAGATTGAGGTCTCATTCCTTTGGAACGAAACAGATAGTAAAATAATGCTCAGCAACTTGTGGCGAATAGCTGATTCTATTGCTCCTGTTTCATGCATTCAAACACAACTCCTAGCTATAATTTAACCTTTCTCCATCATGTCCAAGATTTTGACAGGCCAAAACATGAACAATTCAATAAAAAAAACCTAAATTAATATCCCCAATTCCTTCATTATTGGTAACATTTAATACAAGATGCACTCTTACTCCTTAAGAGCACCAACAACGCGTGTGGTGGAGTTGCCGACTCAATAGTAGACTTGGTGTTGCAGGGTGCACTACACTGATTGCCCAGACAGCCCAGTTAAGCCTAGAACTCATCATAATGGCAAACAGGACGAATCCACAACTCTCAACTCCACTCCAATCTAAGCCAACTATTTTTTTTTAAAGTAATAATAAAACTTATTCCAGCAACACAATAATAATCCATGACAGTGGACAGGAACTGACAGGATTCAAATTGCCAGCACCACACATTAGTGCTTTGTTACATTAAAACAAGGTATTAATTTGACAGGATACTGATCAGTACATTAAAACCAGCCATGTAATCAACAAGTTATTTGAAAAATGGAAGGTAGGACATTTTGATAGCATTAGCCTAGCAATAGTTGATAACATCAGTTGTAATACCAAGGGAGGAAGTCACTCATTATGAAAGGTAAGTCCAGCTATGAAGCAAAATTAGTGAAGAAGGATTATACAGCAAATACAGAAGGAAATGTAGAAAAAGAGGGAGGAAGGAGTGTGTTAGGCGGAATTCATTAACAAGTTCACAATGCAACGTTTAGTTGTAGTACCACTGAAAAAAGGTGACTAGTGGAATACTCAAAGGGGATCACAATCAAAGATGAGAGACTACACTTGACTGTTGCCTACTTCTATGAGCACTTTGCTTAAAAAAGTAAGAAAACTCTCAAATCTAAGACTTGCATTGAATTTAACTTCATAATTAAGGAATAATTCAATTCAGCCTACTTACTGCAAAGCAGAAAACAAAAAGCTAAAAAGTTAACAAGTAGTTTGATGACCTACTGGATAATTTCACCAGAACAAAAGAGTCAAATAAAGTAAATTCCAGACCAAAGAATTACAGATACTGGGAATCAGAAACAAAACAGAAACTGCTGGAAAAACTCTGGTCTGGCAGCATCTGTGGAGAGAAAGTAGAGTTAACATTTTGGGTCCAATGGCCCTTCAAGAACATTAACTCTGCTTTCGCTCCACAAAGCAAATTGCAGATTCAATACCCCATCTGTTGATTCAGCAAAGACAGCAGGAAGACAATTCAACATGTAACCTTTCTCGATTACTGCCTAGTATTGCTGCATCAGAT